CCTTACAATGAAGCTAAGAGAAAGGCAGAAGGGAGACAAAACAGAACAAGGGAATGGGGATCCCAGGTTCTCAGATCTGGGAAGTTTTGATGACTTCTGGGTAAGTTGAGTAGGAACCTGGGTGAATGGGACTGCAGCTATAACAAAAGGCCCTTGCTTGGGGAAGTTGTTGAGAAGTTTCTGTCTAGGGAGGTATTAAAAGGGCCAGTGGTTCTTGCACTGAAAGTGGTAGCAACTGGAGATTCTGGTTTGAAAAGGTTAAAAAATTGTGTATGGCAGGCACCTGGAACACCTCTGTCAACTCCACACAGATGCCTGTGGATTTGTTGCTTTTTCTAATCAAGAGAAAAGGACATCTCAACTTCTTGCTGTGTTTCACTTCATCTCTGTTTCTTGCCATGCTTCATTTAGCAGCTGTCTGTCCTGCTCACCAGACAGGCCTGGCTGTGAGTGCATGCATTGGGCATGTGATGTTGGCACAGTGTTACATATCCTGGGACTGCTCTCCCCAGTTTTCCACTGTTGTGGTATCTGTAATGTTCCCCTGCATTAGCAGGGTTTGAAAACTGGTTGTTTCTTATCCTCTCTCCTGTCTTTACTAGTAGCCTGATTATACTGTCATTCCTCAGACATGGATTTCACTTCAGAATGCCTCATGAAAATGCAGTCTCTAAAGTCATGAGGTCAGGTGCAATTTTACTAAATCACGCCCATTTTCTGTAAGATGGAAACAGTCTTTTCTACTGCTGGTCCAAAGCCAACAGGGATGGCTGTTGCTGATTTATCTGAGTAAAGTAATAATGCTATGTGATTAGCATTAAAATTAAAATTAGTATTTTTTCCCCTTCTACAATACTTTGATTTACTAAAACAGGAGTTTCAAAAGTTGTCAGTGAGATGCAACTGTGACTGGGGTAGAATGTGATAGCTGTTTAGCGGTCTGCAATAACACTGTATCTGAGTCCAGGAGGGAGTGAGAATGCAGCTGGGATGAAGGGGCTGGTGTATGGAGCCTGCACTGTGACTCTCACAGCATCTTCTGGTGAGCAGGAAGCAGCTTGTGAGAACTGCAGCATGTGCTGCAGGTTTGTGTCTTAGAACCACCACCCTTGGCAATGCTGATGGAAAAAGCCATTTCTCCAGGGGAAAGGGAGCCAGGAATAGGGGCACTGAACCACCACAAGTTGGGTAGGGAACAGACAGTGTTTCCTGTAAGCTGCAAGCCATTTGCATGAGTCACCTATGTGACTGTACAGCAAAAGCATAGGAGGGCTGAAAAAAAAGGAGGAAAAAAGCTGCCTGAAGAGTCAATGAGAACAAATTGAGACATTATGAATTAACACTGTTGTTCCTGCAGCTCTCTGCAGCATTCCTGCTACCCCAAAGGATGCTTTTGTGCCTTTCATCCTGTCACTCAAACCTCAGATGGGAGGTCTCAACAAGAATGTGCTTTGGGCCAATCCACAGGTTAGGGTGTGGATGTTTTTTTTCCCTATACATTCATCACAGAGCTCGTTTCTGTGCCTGTTTAGGCTTGGAAGCAGAGTTTGTCTCCTCTTACTTGTAGTAACTAAGGCATGGTGATTAATCAGCTGTGTGTCCTTGTGGGAAGATGGCTCTGATATAACCTGTGTATTCAAGCCCACAAATTAGGTGCCTCAATTCCTCTCCATATCCTTTATGTGTCTTGACTGTTCTGTGCTGGTCTGTCTCTGCCCTGGATCAAATCTTTCACTTCCAAAGCTTTGCCAGGTGTGGCTCTGGCAGGGGAGTCAGTGTGGGACTATGGTAGACAGCTGCATGTGGACAAGCCTTGCTTTTCTCTAGTTCTACACGCAGGAGGTTTGTAAAACTGACATAATGTGATAGCCCTGGAGGTGAACTGAACTGGTAGGAATATCCTGGTGAGAGTGCAGAACACCTCTGTTCTGTGGGAACGCCTGTGTGATGGAGGCCAGGAAGGGCTGCTCTGGATCATCTGTCCTTACTGGGACAGAAACCATCCAGGGCTGCCCTGCCCTGCCTGGTGTCAGCAGGCAGGGATGAGATCTGGAACATGTTCTCAAGCTAAGCACCATCTCCCTGAGGATTTGGGCAATCCCTCTGTGCTGTCCCAGCAGAGGGCTAAAGAGCAAGACTGAAGGTTGGGAACCAGGGAATGGATTTCTTGATGCACCTGGGGAGGTGAAGTGACTGATGAGTCAGGCTGTGCGCTGTGGTTACTGATGCCAGACCTGCCCAGCTCTGCCCCCTGGGCATGTATTGCACTGAGTGGGATGCTGAATGTTACACTGCCTGCAGAAATGTTACTTGGACTTCCAGTGGTGTTGTATGTGTCATGGCTCTTCTGCAAAGTAGGACAGTACAGACAGAAACTTAATCTTGTCTCCTTACATGACTAAATCTTTGAGTTGAAACTGTTAATGGCTGTAGGCCCACCAGTAGATGTGAAGATAGCTTCACATCTAAAATAGACTCCTTTTGCTGCTGAGTGCCTAAGACACCTTTAAGAACTTAAATGGTTTTATTTTTATTTTTGGGCACAGTTTTTAAGATAGTGCCACAGTCAGACATTTTACAGGCACTCAAATATCTGAACAGGCCATATTTAAATGTTTCACCTCAGCACTTTCTGTGTTTCCCCCTCAGAGCAGATCAATAAAACTAATACCTTTTATTTTCTCCCTCCTCTAACATTCTGTGTGAGCTCTGGTTTTAGCTAGACAGATTTATAATTACTTGTAAACTCAGAGCCTTTATTTGCAGAGGTGCTGACTTTGAATAATGAATGAGAAGCTTTGTTCTGTGCCTCTGTAGCCAGAGATTTTACTTCCAGCAGTTGAGGAGTCTCAGATGACACTCTTAAATGTAACAAACCTGGAAAATGAAGTCTCTTTTGAAACACACTGTAACATTAATTGATCCACAGCAGGGGCTTGCTTAGATTTCCTTTTTGAGATCACACTAGTCCAATAGATGGGATGGAAATAACTGTTTGCATCTATCTTCCATTAAGGCTCTGCTGGAAAGTTGGGTGGATCATTTCGAGAGTAGCAGAAGCAGAAACACAACTCTTCATTTTCTCACAGCTTATTTCTTCAGGTTAAATAAGACATGAGTACCTACTACCTTTTACTGCACTGGGAACATTTAAATTACCTCTTCTGTACTTTTGAAGCATTATGACAGACAATCCATTTGCCTGCTTGCTTAAAGATTATCAGAGGTTTTCCTGAGCTCTATCAAATTGAGTGACAGTTGTTTGATGGATTCAGAAGCTAGTTGGAAGAAGATGAAAGCATAGACCCTCTTTCCCCCTGGCCCATATGTGTAAATACACCAACTGCATAGGAGACTGGCTAAAAATAACCTAGTTTGTGTTGCCATAGGGAATTTATTATTTCAGAAAAAGACAGGACTGCCTGGAATTTTACTTGGAAGGGATGCAACAGCTCATATGTTTGGTTGAACCCTATGACCCAACACCTTGAGACATCCTTTTCCCAAACAAATAGAACCCAATTAAATATAAGTTAAAATCCAATCCTGTGCCAGTGGCACTTGGGGACAGACCTGTGTTAGCTTTTAGTCCTGCAAGCAACAAACCATAATGCAGAGTTGAGCAGAGTGGATAGAATATGCTCGATATATGGGCAAATCCTGAGCAGTATCCCATTCTGAAACTAGTGTTACCAGTTTGATCCCTACTGGTACCTTACCAAATTAATGTAAGCATGCTTGTGAGTTACCATATCCTCTGAGGCTGCTTTTGCTACTTTTATTTCTTTTTTTATAGCACAGGTATTTCTGCCCACTTGAAATAAAGGAGATTGTATCTTTGCTTACAGCTACCTCATGAATGGTAAAAAGTCATTAGATAAATTTTTAAGCTAAAAAGCAGTCTCTAGTGGGTGGCTTTCTCTTTCTTTTCTACTTACCCTATGACAGATAATACTGCAATAGTGACCATGGCATGGTCCAAAAATCTGCCAATTGCCCTTCTGAAAAAGGATTTTCTAGGGATGCTATCCCTTCTGTTCCACAGCAACACTGAAGCAGTAAATTGAGGCAAAGAAAAAAAAGTGTTCCAGAAAATCAAGGGCTCAGTGGAGAAAATGTTGCTGAGCTTGTTAGATAGCTTTGAAGCAGGATGGGGTTTTTTTTGGTTTGTTTGGTTTTTTTGGTTTTTTTTGTTAAAACAAAGTTGCACCAAACCAACACTGATGATGATCCTGGGCTACAGAATTCCCTTTCCAGCAGTGTGTGGTTGACCCTGTAACTTCTGGGTTAGTAGATTTGGGCTGCAGCTCTTAACCCAGCTACTTTTCAGACCTGCACAGTGCCAATTCAGCCCCAATGAGCTGGATGCCCTCCCTCTGGAAGGCAGAGTTATTAAAGATGTGTAGGGCATTCTGTAGGGCTGGAAGGCATTTTGCCAAGGAAACAGTGGTGCTTTTTTTATATGAATTAGTAACTAGCTCTGGGTGTGCTGCCAGAGCATATTGTAATATTAACAAGGAGATGCCATTCCATTAAACCAGGCGAAGGAGTTCAGCAGGGGGCTAAGTGGTGGTGGGTGGTTGCTGAACTTGTCTGTAGATACACATAAAATAAGTAGGTACAGAGGATTCCTCTGGCTGAAATGTAAATTCAGGAGATTTCTTGTTCAGCCTATAAGGGCAAAATCTGTCAGCATTACTTAGGGCTTGCCATGAAAGGGTGTTTTTGAGCAGGTATGTTCAGAATAATTACCTTGATTTCCTGTGGATTCATATTCTCAAGAAGAATGACATGCCTGGCATTATTCTGGAATAGCTATCCCACTTTATGTTCATGTTGTAGTTTATTCTGGAACGATTTCTATAGGGATTCAGGAATCCCAGGGATTTGTGCTGCTGGGCTCACTGTGCTGGAATCACACTGGAAACATCCCCACTTCTTCCCCCTGCTCTCTTAGAAACATTTTGCAGGGAACTAGAAAAAAAGAGACTCATTGATCATTTAGATTTTGTACAAGATTCCCTTTATTATAAATAAAGCTGCATGAGAAAATCTATACAAATTCAACAGTGTCCTGCTATAGAAGCAGCGGTTTAAGTACAGCATTGTCAATCAAAGAAGACCTTAATCTGGAGAGTTCTGGTGTTATTGCCCATCTTGGTTGCACTGCCAAGATTCATCTCTGTACAGTGTTGCTCCTGAGCTAACATGTTACACACAGACCCTCCCCCCCCTTCTAAAAAGAGACAAGTAATAAATAAAGCTGTTTTACCAGGTAAGGTCCTATGAGAGCCAACCCCTCACTGAGCAGCAGCAAAGCTGTTACAGGTGCCTAATGCCTCATTTCTTCACCACAGAGAGAGCACTGCCAAAGACTTTGCATTAAAAATGGCTGGTGAACAAACACCAAATCCTGCTGCTTGAATACTGGATAAATTTTTGGATCATTTTGCTAAACTACATCTTTATACCCCTGTATATACATGTATACAGAGCAACTTGGAGAGAAACTCTTTTCTGGGGCTGCTTAACATTGAACACCTAACACCTCCCCTTAGAAGACATTCAGCTCCTGTACAGCAATAACCTTAGACCAAGACATTTTGTAAAGGCAAATGGCTCCTGAGGCTATGCTGTAGATCAGTGGTTGCTATCAACCCACCATTAATTCCATTGCTTTGACAGAGTCTGTAATAAAATATTAAAACCACAAGTTGAGGGCACAGGGAGTGGTTGGAAACCAGTGGAAGGCACTTGGAGTTCATCTGTTGAATTCACTTGGTTAGCAAAGGGCAAGGATGGCATTGAGGGTCCAGGATAGGCCATTTACCTTTCCTTAGGCTGTCCCACACAGACATTGTCAAAGAGGTGTTTGTTACTCAGGTGCCATATGCAGTTTGGTTTTAAAAGAATGTTTTCCACTTTAAAACACAAAAATCTCACTTCTACTCCCATCCTTTAAAGCTGCTTCCTATGATTACCCACCCAGATTTCAGTCAAGGCAGAACTGCCCATGGGCAACACTAAAATGTCTTAGGACGTTTTTACTGGCTGGTAGCTGATGGAACTGAATTGTCTAATAAACCTGATTTTGTGAAATGTGAGCATGGGCTTTTACTAGCAGGCTAGTATTTGGTGGGCAAAGATTTGATCCAGGAGAGACAGGGAAGTCCAAGGAATGATGTGCTCACATCATGGCCTCCTTGTACCATGGCAGAGGTGTGGTCTAAAGAAACACTGTACCAACCTCTCCTCTGATGGGACATGTCTGTACCTTCAGTTTGCAAGGAAGATCTCCACTCTGAGGTTGACTGGAGCACAGTTATAATCACAGATAACATTTCCCCCCAACAGGTATGAGTGGGTCCCCTCACAGCCTAAATGCACAGACCAGAGCACTTTAAAGGTGCTCAGGTCAAAATGAGCATATTGCATGTAGGAAAAATAAGCCAAGTAATTTGCTTTCAGTGGAATTAAATCCATAAATTACTTGATTCAGCTCCTCTTCAACTAGATCCCATGCAAATACTTCAGGGTCAGTTTGGGTGTAAGAGAGAACAGGCATACAAGTACAGAAAACAAAGAACAAAAGATTCAATCCACTTATCAGTTCAGGTTCCCTTTGAGTCTGAGCAGCAGTGCTTGGGGCTGTGTAAAGACGAGTTTGGGCATGTTTACAACCCCATTGCAACTGGTATTGCAAAGCTTTGTTCTGACATTTTAATAGGGGAGTTACCTTATTCTGTTTAACAGCCTTTTCTTCTCATGCTCCCCCTGCTCAACCTTATATAAAAATTATTTTTCAACTCTGAATGTCATTTCCTGAGAGACCCAGGTCACAAATTTGTTTCTGTTCTTTGCAGACTAAATTTAGACTACTGACAGGAAACGGCAGAGAAATTCTAATTCTCTCTAGCTGGGCTGGGAGCACATTTAGAAGCAACTTCAACCACAACTGCTCCAATGTGACCTGCCTGCCAGCAATCCACGTAAAGCTGGATTTGCTACAGGCACTTTGCAGTAAACCTGGGAAGGTAAAAATGGCAAATCACCTGGGTTTGCAAACGACTTACACAGCTTCTGATGTAGCCACTAGGCTCCAGTACTGACCCACCCTCCCTGTACCTCTGCTTGTCACTACCTGCTTGCCATGGCCTCTGAGATTGCTCCTGCTCTCTTTCCTTCTGGGGAAAGCCTTCTTGGCTGTACTAAGGAAAGCCAGGGATTTACAGCACTCGTTAGCGTCAGCAATTAGTCCTGCCCTGTTGCTCTCCTGGCAGTCTCCCAGGCACTCATCACCAAGGATGCTGAAGCAAGCAATGATGATCCAAGACTTTTTCCTACTGGCATTACCCAACAGCCTCTTCTCCTCCATTCCTACCTACCCCTTACTTTCTGTTCAGAGATCCTACTTAACTACCTGTGGTAATTAAAGCCAAGGGAAGCAGCACTTTGAGCACAGCTCCATCACCATCTGTGCTTTCTTATAAACCTGCTGTGGAGACAGGAGTCACAGCTTTCTCTGCCTTTGGGTGTGAAGTGTCCCACACTCATGGCAGGACAGAGAAGAGCAGACACCAATGAGGTGGTAAAACAGTTTTTCCCAGGGAAAGGGAAGAGAGGACATGTCTATGGAGAGTTTGCTTATCAACTGGATAAGGCTGGATAACAAGCTTCATGTTGTATGCTGTCCCCAGCAGTGATACAGGATTGGATCTTCTCTCTGATGTGATAGAGAGGATTGATAAAAAAGGACCTAGGGAGTGACAGTAAAAGCATCCCTGATGGGTTTTACCTCACAGAACAATCACCCTCTTGTAAATAGGATTAAGGGAACCCTAGTGTAAAACTTTGCAGGAAATCCTAGTGTGAAAAAATGGTAGGAAAGGCCCTTTAGCACTGGAGGCCAGGCTTCTGGGACCAGCATAAAGCAATTACACAGTGTCCCTGGCTTGGACACCTCAGGAGGGTGAGGATCTCCTGAGTCCTCTCCTTCAGCAAAGCCACCTTGCTGGGGCTGGGCAGCCCACTGGCACAGCACTAACATGCTTCCTGTGGGATTTCAGGCATTTCCATTTCTGCAGTTGTTTTTTTTTTTAGCACATACCTCAAGATTTTCCCCTGGTCTGAAAGCCTGCAGCAGCTCTCCTCCTTTGCACTCCCAGCTCAGCAAATTACAGTCTACTGGTGCAGCAGTCTTTAAAAAGATTGAGGAGAATGTGTAAAGTAGCTTTTGCCTGCATACGTGGAACACAGATCATAAAGCAGCTGCAAGCAGCACTGCCCAGGTCTACTACATGTGCATCTTTTTCATCCCTTCCTTCTCCTGCCTGCTGGTCTTGGCCTAATTAAAACCATGTGCAGAGAGTCACACTCATTTGGAGGGTGATTGTTCACTCCTGCTACCAGACTTCTGAGATTGGCTTCATTACAGGATAATTTTGGAGAATTGTTTCTTTTATGAAAGCAAAATTTACAGTAGTCATAGAATCAGAATTGTTTGGGCTGGAAGGGACCTCCAAAGATCATATAGTTCAAGCCTTGCTTTGCTTTTTGAGAACTTTTTTGCTTTTTGCTTGCTTTGCCTTGAGAACTAGGCTGTTCTCATGCCTTAGTGCCCCAAGGTAAGGATAACAAACAACTCAAAAGGCCAGAACCCAATAGTGGTGTTTCTTTTATCTAAGGTAAAAAAGGTTCCTGTTCATTGATCCATACAAAATGGGCAGGAATATAAACCACTAGCCATGTTTCCATGGAAGACTTGAATGAAATGGTCTGAAGACACAGACCCTGCTCTGCTATATCCTCCCACAGGAGAAGAAATGTGCAGGGGTGTTTCTGAAAGAGAGGACAAGCCATTTAAGTTACTGCTGCAAGTCCAATCAAGAAGACTTCTTCTTCTTCTTCTTCTTTTTTAACTACAGTTCCCTTTTGAAGCTGTGCTTTATTTAAGACTCTCTATACTGTCCAGATCTTGTGCATGACCCTCCTCCTCTCCACACCAGCATGTAGACTTGTTGCACTTCCCACTGGTGAAAGAACTCCTGCTGTCTGGAAGCAGACAGGCTCCTTTGATCCCAAGATCATGCCCCTTATTCCCCCACCCTGTTTTTATCTCCCCCTTCTGAAGGAAATGAAGTATTTGGCCACCATCACACCCCCATCCCCATTTGCATTGCAGGCATCTGAATAAATTACTTATATTTGCTGCTGTAGCATGACTGAGGCACAATAGAAAAAATATATTCTTAGCTGCATAAAACCAAGCACAGCAGTGGAACAGAAACCTACTTCAACACCACATCTTCCAGTTTCCCCCTATTCTCCCCCCATAGCCTCTTCCTTTCAGCAGGAACCATGGCCCAGGGCTGGTTCAGCTCCAGACAAGAAGCTCTATTGGCAAAGTCAGATGCCCCTAGGAGGCTTCAGGAAGTTGCCTCTGGACTTGTGCTTAGAGTTTGGCTTTGGTTAAAGGGGTTCCTTACGGATCCCATTGGTGTGTGGAAGGGGAACGTGCACTGTGTACTCATTTATCAGTGCAGACATGTTCCTCAGCATCTCATGGAACGTGTCCACCATCTTCCTGTAAATGTCCCTGCGTAGCACAAAGGGACGGAAAAGGTTGAGAGGCTCAGCCCTCTGAAATATGACGGGGAAACCCAGCTCTGCTGGTATCTTCCCATTGCCAATAAAGAAGTGATAAAGCTTCTTTTCATGCAAACATTTCTCTAGGAATTTCAGCATGTCCTGAAGGCGGACCTCCAGCTTTTCTGGGGCCCAGTCCTGACTGGGACGTGCCTGCAGGAGATGCAGCAGCACTGTCTTCAGGTGGTAGTTGGTGAGCCCGCTGGGACCTGTGAGGCTGCATTGCTTCCCATGGAGGAAGGAGAGGATCTGAAGGCAGCTGACGTGGCAGGCATTGGCAGGCAGTGTTTTGGAGACCAGCTGGATGAACCTCCTCTCATACACTGCAAAGGTGAGAAACCAGTGGGTGCTGGAGGGGGTGTCTGCTGCCAGGCTGCTCCGGGGAAAGTGGGAGATGAAGTAAACGTCAGAGTTCTCATACTGCACCACAGGGGTGAGGTTGAAGGCAATCGATTTCCCCGATTTAAATTTTATCTTCAGGGCTCCTGGTGAGTCCAGGAGGCTGAAGGAAAGGTCAAATTCATATTTGTGGGAGATTCTGTTCCAGGCCTTGGTGACGGCAATCTGGAACCACTTCATGACTTGGTTGGCATCCAGATATTGAGTATTTTTGAAACACAGGAGGTCTTCCATCTCACTGCTGGGCCTGGTACTACTGACCTGGCTATGGAGGAGGCACAGCATATCTTCCCCTAATTTAGTCTTATCACAGATGCAACCCGTCGCATCCTCATCTGCCCTGCACACCTTGATAGTGCCATAACCTTGTTCATCTGGGGGAAAAGAGTCACCAGAGCACCAGGTCTGGCAGCAAAAGCAGTAAGGCTCTGGGGGGGCAAAAGGCACTATCAGATCACAGACGAAGGGTTTACGCACTCTCCAATTCTCATACATGCTCCCCACACCCATGCAATCTTCCACTTCCATGTCAGCATCCCGGTTACAAACACTCCTCAAGGCCTCCAGCAGGTCATCTGCAAAGCCTTCCACCATCTCCCGCATCCTGGCCATGTCTCCGGTGGTACCCAGGATACGCTTCTCATAGAAGCTGGCCAGGACAGCCTTGTCAGGGAAGGCCACTCCTTTAAATGCCTTCCCCAGGACTGCCATGTCATCCTCTTCTCCTCCTATGTCCTGCCAATTCCCTTCCTGGAAATCCTGCCTCCAGAGCTCGATCAGCAGGAAGATGACCATGGAGAGGGCAGTCCACATATCCCATCGGACCTTTTCTTCTTTGCTTTCCTCCACTACCACTGCAGCCTTTTCCAGAGCCTTCTGTGTGGCTTCCTGGTCTGCGATTTCCTGCTCCAAGCGCAACTGCTCCAGCCGCAGGCTCTCCTCCCGCTCCTTCATCTTCTGGATGATTTCTTCTGTGTTCTCGGGGACGGTGCCATTCTCCTTAGGGAAGAAGAGCGGGTGGTTGACAATAGCTGTAATCACCAGTAGGCACACCCGGAAGAGTCCCACGGGCATCCCTGGAAGAGAAAGAAAGGTGAAATGACCCATGATTTGGAATATATTCCCTCAAGTGCAAAACTGAAAGGAACTCCCCACTGCAATAAGAACTTTGACATCCTTTCCAGCCCTGAAAAGTATACTTGAATCTAGAAACTACTAAGTGCACGCCCATTTCTGCAAGTTATCAACCAACTTCCCAAAGAGGCTTTATCAGATGATGGTGAGGATGAAAGTGGCTCTTATCAACTTGAACTTCGAAAAACAGAACTCTGAAGGAACTTCCTCTGCTGTCAACCCAATGAGATGCTGTTGGGTAGCATGGGAGGGCATGTCCTTACTTTGCCTCCCCTCTAAAACTCCATGGACAGAAAAGGAAAGAAAGAAGCAGGCAAAACCTCCCCAGATGTATATAAGCAGGACTGGAGATGGGCACTGCTTTCCCTCAACATAAAGGTAGTGTTTCAGATGTGGCAGTGGCATAGGCAGGTCTGTCCTGGCTACCTTCCTGTTACGCATGTCTGGGAACTCACACAGCCTGCCTGGATCAGGGCAACCTTCACTGCCCCGCTGGTGAGGTGCATCTGGATGGGAACAAGCCTGCACAGTTTTGTGCTTCTAAGCAGGTAAAGTTCTTCCTGCCCTTCAGCATCATCAGGATCAGGCTGTGGCAAACCCTTCTGGCCCCCAGGATGCCTCATGATCACAGTTCCCAGAAAAAGAGCAGAGACTGTGCTAAAATGGAAAGGGTTTCCTTTAGCCCATTGGTTCTAAAAGCTGCTTATTTTTGGTGCTTACTACACTACTGACCTGTGGAGGACATTAGTGAACACCGTGGCTTAGACCTAAGCCATCTCCCCAAGCACCCCCTTAACAGCTGTGCTTGCAGCCAGCTCACTCCTATTTGCAGTGACCTCAACAAGGCTGTGAGCCACATCCTAGCCACGTGCCAGCAGCAGTCCCCTGTGTCACCCCTTGCACAGGCCCTTGGCATGACTGAGGCTACTACAGTGTTTTGGGGTGGCTTTGCGAGGTTCCTGGTTCTGCTGCTCCAGTCCCACATTTAATAAAGCTTTCTGTACCATGGGGCTCACAATGAAAGGATTTAATTCTCAACTTCCTGAGACATGGTCCCATTGCCAGGGTCTCTGCCTGACAGGGACCTCCCAGGGGGCTGGGCCAGGTGGAGCTCAGCCTAAAGCCTGGGCTGTTTCCTCCCAGCTGGCATTTCTGTTTCTGGAGGGCTGGCATCACTATCAGGAGCCCAAGTGCCTGCTCAGAGCAGTACAATCTGAAGTTGTCACCCACTGCTGTGATGCTGGAAGCTCACCAGTCCCTCTTTCTAGCAAAATCACCTCTCAGACCTAGCACAGGGAGATCAGAAGGACAAGATGAACAAGCAGGGATATTTCTTCTTCCAGCTGGGAAATTTTAGCACAGCTGCTTTAATGCCTCAAAAGTGCTTGAGAGAGAAGAGTTTCTGTTACAGAAATAAAGTCTATCAGTAACATACTTCATCAATCAGACCAGAAACAGCAATCTCATTCCTAAGTAATTCTGTTGTGGGAATTAAGCTGTTTCACAGAGAGCCAAGGCACTCTGTGTGCTCTAGGGGCTCAGGGCTGTAATTCCAACCTCCTGGAATAGCTCCTTCCTGGCTTGAACCCAGCATGTTTTGGTGCCACAGCAATCCTGCTGTCCCAGCATCTGGGCAAGAAGGAAAACATCTCTGGCAATCTCATTTATGCCTCCACAGGGCACACAATAAAGATAGATCCACCCCAGTGGACCTTGTTATCGTAACTGCACAACAAACTGCTGGTTTTGATTGCAGGAACCTGGATTTCCTCAATGTGAGCATTTACTGTACATGGGAATTGTATCCTTCAGCACACAATTATCTTTGCTTATGAGAGGGCTGGGACTGGAATAACAAGGGAAGGGAACAGGATTGAGATGCATTGTCCAAGCAGCAAGAAAATTCACACGGTGCTCAGGATAATGCTCCATGCCCCTCCCTGTGTAACATTTGCCAACTACCCTTTTGTTAGATCCCATGCACATGCATAGATGAATGTTCTTATGTAGACATTACCCTGGAAATAGCTTGTGGCCCTACCTTGTCCTTTTTTACATTTACATTAACTCTTTAATTCATCAGGCAATGAATTAAAGCTGAATTAATGCCCAAATCTGGGTGTTCCAGTTATTCTGTGAACTCCATGCCTGGGCACATTTTAAAAATAATCTGGGGTCGCCCAGGACTGCAAAGGGCTTTATCAGTTAGCTGGGGCAGGGCAAGAAGTGCTGGCAAGTTCCATTCCTTAGTATTACGTTCTTGCAGACCACGTGTGCCTTCCAAGCTTAGAAATAACATGGCCAGGGGCCAGGTGCCTCCTTCTTGCAGTCTTGACCGGGATGACATCACTGCCCTGCTCTGCTAGACCACTGTCCCTGCAGATGAGATATTTTACTGTTACCACATTCCTTCTAAGGCTGAAATTAGTCAGCTTCCTTAGGATCTTCTTCCTCATGCCCAGCTGCCCATGGGCACTCTGCTACCACAGGTTACCTGTCCCAGAGCTCTGCTAGCAGGAGGGACTGGGCCAGACATCCCCAAGTCCATCACTGGCTGGCTCAGCTGAATTCACCCTGGGTCTTACTGACATTCTAGGATACCCCAGCTCATTCTGCAGCAAGCTTTTCCCTCAGCGAGCACTACAGGCATCAGCCTCTGGAAATTGGCTGTAACAAGATCTTCAGATGACTCTTATTTGCAAGCGGGATGTCTGTTTTCAGCCCAGAGCAAGTTCTGCTGGTCAAAACTGCCCTTTTGCTACTGCAGCTACTCATTCCAGATAATGAAGCCAAACATTAACCTCAGTTAAGGCTTAAGGTTAATGCTGCTCAGTGACCAAAGTCAATGGGGCCTGCCCTTGGCAGCAGCGCGGGTGATACGGGCAGAGCATTCCCGCATCTCTCAGACACAGCTTTCCTGGCTAATAGGAGAGATTCAATAATACAGGTGAAACCAGTAGCACTGCCTGCTACGGTGCTCCAGCATTCCCCGTAACAAAGGCTGCTCTTTTCCCTTGCTTTTAACTGCAGCCCAAGCTATTTAAGCCTGATAAAAATATTTATGCCTGCTCAGGCTGAGACAGCTTTTGTGTGGGGAAGAGGGAGAGAGTCCAAACCTTCCCAGGCTTGAGACTGGGAAAGAGAAACGGCAAATTTTCAATCTATGCATCAAATTTAGCAACATTTCAAATATGGGAGAAAAAAATAAAAGGAATTCATAAGTTTTTAAATAGCAAGTTCTCAAAGCAATCTGCAACCTTTTCCAAATTTCTCACCCTGACAATTTTTTCCCATTTAAAGTATAAACAAATTTGAACTCACTAACGGGCTCACATCCTACCTACCTTCTGCAGACCCTCTTGTGGCAGTCCTGGGGCTCCAAAGACCCCCCAGAGGGTCCTGTGGTCACAGGTAGGCCACTCCTGCCAGCAGCCAAAGCAGCCCTTGCTCTGCTTCCTGGACCAGGTGAGAATGCAGAGACCCCTCTCTTCTCCCGTGGACACAAAGCAGGGAAAGGTGCGGGGAGACCAAAGAAAGCTGCTTGGGAAATGAACAAGGGCCAGGGTATGTGAAATCTCACTGTCTTGATGTGAAGCTGTCTCTGCTCACTGCCCAGCATGTGATGCTACTTGTTCAAACCTGCCTCTGACACTAGATTTAGTTTCCTTCTGGGCTTTTCTGTGGCACTCAGAGCTGTAGTGACTAGGGGCTTTACCAAGTTTAAGGTTAATGACCACTCTGCACAACCCTGGGAAGTGAGGGGGCAGACACCATCCCACCCTCCAGCTGGGAGTGAGGGCTCAGCAAGATCAAAACAGCTGATCACTCTGTTGCCTGATTACAAACAATCAGCTGCATCCTGCGGCACTTGGTATGTTCAAAGGGTCCACCAAGAGCACCTGCAGCCCTCCACCCTCAGCTCCCAGGCACGTTAGGTCTCATCCTTTCAAACCTGAAGCTGTCTCCCTAGCTGGAGGATCCTGACCAGTTCCAGAGCAGGTCCTGGATGATGCAGGAAGCCCCAAGAGAGGAAGGGGACAGACAATGCTGCTGTCATGCAGTTCAGGTTGGTGCCATGTAGCCACAAGCAGAAGGAGGCCAGCTCTCACCCCAGCTGATCTGAAAGCCCTTTGCTGCACAATTTACTCATGTTTGGCTTGCCAGGAGCGCAGTTCCAGGTAGCACAGCATAAGGAAAGGGAAGCAGTACAGGAAGAAACCTTCACAGAGCCAGGCAGCAGCAGCAGCTCTACCTTCAGCTTCTTCTCCTCTTCACCTGGGAGCATCACAGAGCTCATACAGCGTTTGTGTGGACCAGCCTGAAGCAGCTGCTGCCCTGTAGCAATGTGTGCTCTCCCCCTTCCCAAGCCACCCTGTCACAGGGGATTTCCCTGAGGGGCAGCAAAGTCCTTCATGGACATGATGGCTCAAAGTCATAACAATGTCCTGTCCCTTCCAGCTAAATGTGCTTAATTTCTGATGTCCCTAAGCCTTCCTCACACCCTTTTCCATTGCAGCTTCAGAACTTTTTGCCTCCTGCTCAGCCTGACAAAGGAAAGAAAGGGATGGCAGCTTGCAGCTTGCCTCTGCAGGCTGCTCATGTGCCCTGAGCCCAGATAACCCTGCACCTTCTCTGAAGACCAGAATGTGAATGAAGACTTCCCTTTCATTAACAATGTCTTTCTTTACTCAGGAGTTTCTCATGCAGCTTTATTTTTTCAGCCATTTAATTCCTCCGTATTTTGAATCACCGTAAGCAAAACGTGCTCTGGCTGGTGTTCAGCAATAAACCAGGCAGTAGTGAGCTGAAGCTTTGATTCTTAAATTGGAAAAACCCAAGTCAAGCCACTGAGTGCAGTTCAGTATTACACTGGAACACGCCAAGACATCACTTAGAACACACTCTATTGCTTCCTGCAATCTGGCTGACACAAAAGGCAATG